CTGAGGGTGTTTTTAAATTGGGGGTGCACATGCACATTGTTTGGGGGGGGCAACCCACCTAATCCCACCTAAAGAGGTACCCTTTGTGAGCTTATCAAAATGCATTTTTTTAAATAAGAAATTAATAAGGGACATGCATTTTCTTCCAATCAGAAATTCAGATTTTTTGGGATTTTCCTAGATTTTGGGGATTCTGTGCCTTGAATATCTACAATGTATCTATGTATAAAATTATATATATATATATTATATTATATAGGTATTGACATAACTATAAGGCATCTCCAAAAACCAGAACCCAAAAATCACCTTTTCACCACCAAAAAAGGTAGGATTTTCCAGAAGGGTATTTTTTAATGGGGGCTAGCGACCCATGTTGATTAATGGGGGGGGACCAACCCAAAGTAGTATTGCCAATCTTTTTTTGGACTGTGGTTGTTGATTAATACGGGCTGTCTAATATGAACTTAACATTACGTGTTCTGGATAGATAAAGGGTTCACGATGATTGCATGAATGATGATAAAACGTATAGAAAACCAGCTGTTTTTTTGTACATATGTACATATATGACATATGTACATACATGTAAACTGTATAGGGATATTCGAGTCACTCCGCGACGAGCACCGAGCCCACCGGGGACAGAGCCTTGTACATTTTGTACAAGGGTGACATGAAACAGAGTGTATGGGAGTATTGTGATGGCAAAGCACATCAAGTCTCGTCTTCCAAATCCAGTGGTCGACGACAGCATGTCGCTTACAGAAGCTTCCAGCTGGAGACTATCAACCACACTCCCATTGTGATGGTATATATATATGTAAATAAAACGTATAAATAGCAACTATATATTCACATATATGTATATATATATATGTATACAATTGTTTTAACTTCTTATATATATATATACATACATGCACCTCTAAATATCTGGCCTTGGATATATACATTGTAGGCCTAGATAGATAGATAGATCGATAGATAGGTAGGTAGGTAGGTAGATAGATAGATGAAGCTCTACTATATATATAGACGTGTTCTTTTCGAACACAGAGAGAGAGAGATACAGCACATATACTAGAATCAAACAAATATGGCCAACCAAGGGTGTCAGGTTGTGCTTCTGGCATTGCATCATTGCAGCTTCCAATTTCAGTCATTGGAAATAGGTGTCCGAAGTGGGTTGTGCCAAAGCCAGCAGAATCACTGAGCAGGAGGAGGAATCAACAGAGAACTTGGTTGGCTTTGTACCGCGTGAAGCGTCAGAATTTGGGATCGAGCCAACTCGGATTTGTTGATCTCGCTGAGATGCAACCGAGTTGCTCGACATGCACTGGATTGCATAGGTCTTAGGTATTAAGGTTGACCCTGACAGATGAGGCCAGGATGCATGTTGCTATGGCAGTATCCAATGGCGTTGCGGCCGATGGATGATACGGTGGCTCGAATGACGATACACCAGACATCCATCTTTTGTATGATGCCCTTGTGGATCCAGAGACTGGAGTGCTGAGTGCGGGTCATTACGATATTCTGCTACCGGGACAGAAAGGATATCGACATTTCAAGCTTGCCGAAGCTGTAGATATCGTAAAGTGTCCCATGAACATTTCAGAGGGATTTGATATCCCTATCCTCACGATGTTCAACCAGGGCAAGATGCAGGTGATGCATTCGGAGGCAAATGAAGTTGCAGCCGCCCGGCCTGCGCGCTAAACCCATTGCAAACAAGAACGTGGGCACAACAGCTGAAAATATTCGCAACTTCCTTTGATATATATATATAATCGTTTTTTGATTTTTGCCTATGGTGCCAACATGTGCTTTATGTGTGAACTTGCTCATTGCTTGAAGGCTTAGAACAAACTAGTTTAGCTTTGTTTTCAGACTTATTCCAACATATCTAAAAGACAATTTGGGAACTATGTGCGACCCCTGTTTTTTTTATTTATAATCCGATCGAGGAGGTTGATGGGGGGTTGCCCATGGTAGGAGCCATATGCAAAGTGTCAACAGAGAAATCCAACAAGGCCAGCGGTTGAACCCAAACACGAAACAACGCAACCTGAAGCTGAACAGCACATGCCCGAGCAGATTGAACACCCTGCAGCAGCAGGGCTGCCTACAGAACCTACGCGTTGTTGAAAGCAGTGGTGCGATTGAGGATAGCATTGCGACAACCGCTCCAGAGCCCAATGTCTTTGCCGAAGATGCACACAATGCTTCAGAACTGCTTCATGATAGCAATGATGAGTAATGATGTACTTGTGGATAGCATTGCTCTAGCCGATCCAGAGCCCAATGCCTTTGCCGAAGACGCACGCAATGCTCCAGAACCGCGTCAGGATGGCAGTGACATAAAGATGCACTTGTGGATAGCATTGCAACAGCCGATCCGGGGCCCAATGCCTTTGCCGTAGATGCATACAATGCTTCAAAACTGCTTCAGACACCGTGCGTCTCGGCGAGCGATGGTGTTTGCAAGAAGCCAGACGTCTCCTCTGGTGCATATTTAATCGGGCAATCTCGACAGCAGTTGGAAACGATCAAACAATGTGCCACAAACAAACCTTGGGCAACTGTTTTACATGTTGGAAAGCTAAAGGTGGCATCATTATCTTCAAGCCTTCGGACGATACAGTGCTGAGCTGCCATTCGGAAACAATTACTTGCATCAGATCAATGCAAGAGCTGTTGCAGTATCCACATTTTGAATGCTCGACATCGTCTGAGCAGAAAGAGTGGCTGCAGTTATTGTGTGATCGAACATCTGATGGTAGGTTGCGCTCCATTTATGCATGGACTTTCAGCTACATTGCCGAGTGTACAGCTATTATTAGTGATACATCCACCATCAAATCCAGAGGTTCCATGCAAAAGCTTACAACTGGCGAAGCTGAACAAGTGCTTGGAATACATACAAGTGCTGGGCATGCAGAATCAGCAGCAGAACCAAAAGAAGCAAAACCAACCGAACCTGCAGTATCAAAAGACCAAGAATTTCTATGAATTTCTGTCATGCAGCTTAGCTCATTTGTCATCAACGACATGATCAAGCAGTTCGGCCAATCCACGGGCAATTGTCAATGGCTTGCAGCCTGTGCACGTCCATCATCTACCAAATTACCGGTGCACGTGTGTGATAGCTCTACTGGCAAGACCATCTTTCATTGCAATGTTGCATCGATCACTCATATGGGTGACGCTACAATGTTGCAGCATGATCTGAATGATATGCGCTGGCTGACCTTGAAATACAAACGAAGTTTCTTGCAAATGCTTCGATTCAACGAACAACAGGATCGCAAGATGTACCTATGGTGTTTCAGTGATTGCTGCATGTTCAGACAACCCCTTGAACTGCTAGGAGACAATCATACGCATAGAAGGGGTCTGACATTCAAGGCAACACGATCACAGTTCATACCTTGGCAGCAAAGATATCTGGCACCGGTTATGAGCCTTCATAGCACCGGTGATGTTTTCCTTCACCGTTTGAATGACAAGGACCTGAGCAAACCCATCTGCAAAATGCGCTGGTTACCACAGTCCCGTGCACTTTTTGGCGGCCGGCTCTCTTGGAAAATGCCCCCCCCAACTGAAGCTGTACCAGACTGACAGATCGTTCCATTCGTCGCGTCCACTGCTAAACTACCACGCTTCAGCACCTTCGGTGCGGGCGGGTTGACATACATACATACATACATACATACATACATACATACATACATACATACATACATACATACATACATACATACACACATACATACATACATACATACATACATACATACATACATACATACATACATACATACATACATACACACATACATACATACATACATACATATATACATATATACATACATACATACATACATACATACTTACTTACATACTTACATACATACGTACATACATACATATATACATACATACACACATACATACATACATACATACATACACACATACATACATACATACATACATACATACATATATACATATATACATACATACATACATACTTACTTACATACTTACATACATACATACGTACATACATACATACATATATATATTTATATTTATATACGTATATAAATATAAATATATATATATATACTCATAGTATTACTGTCTTGTTTTGTATCACAGGTAATTGTATCATATTTTGCAACCGTATGTCATATTTAATTCGTGGATTCCCCCAACCCATTGGCGTGCTTTCCACCCCCGCCTGTTTCCCGAGGTTTGTTGCGAGATTGAACATGGATCCGTCAGGGGCCCTCGGATCCACTGGTAGTCTAGCTCCCCTTGCTACTCCAAAGATAGTGTGTATATATATATATAATATCTTTTGTATACAAAGAACATACCTTATATATATATATCTATATCTATATGCGCTGTGATTCATGGCAGGCTCGTTCCTGCAGGGATTGAACGATTGAACTGGTGCGAAACTTCCTCCAGGAATTGGTGGGGGCAAATGAGGCCAGCATTTTGTAGCGCAGCTTTCACACTGAAAGATCACAAAACAAGTCATTGTGATCATGGAGAGCACCTGAGATTGGTGAACTTCCCTTTAACATTCAGCACCCCCCGAAAAACCATGGCTCCGCCCGCGGATTGACACAGACTTGGGACCGTAGGATTGGGGTGCTTAATATGAACGGGGAATGCGATCACTCAACGGCAGTACCCGTACCCTGATTTTGTTTGCGTAGGTGGTGTTGCGTTTTTAAACTAATCTTGGAACATCAAATTAATCTTGGAAAATCATATTCCAATGTACTCCCAAAAACTTTACACATGTGTACATCACATGAGATGTATATAAAATATACAGGTGCATGAATATACCAACACATACATATATGATTACGCACATATATAGATATATACATCTATTTGGTATTATATATATATATCATACATGTACACGCTTTCCCAGATCAAGAAAGGGGATTGCACAATTTGCAGCATGTGGCCATGGCGGCGTCCTGGAACATTCAGCGCTTGGCGCTGTATCATAGCGGTCGAGCTGAAGCCGTTGCTGGGCACGTCGTTGACGTCGTGCGACCCCCTTGTAGTATGGGTCCAAAAATGGGGGATGGACCCCCCAGTTAGGCAATTTCTTAGGGAAAAGGATGATAAACCAATTGATTACCAGAGGGTGTAAACATTCTGACCAAAATGCTGAAATGTGTTTAAGCCATTTTTTTTTGACTTGGCACAGTTCATGTGACATATTTTATGACATATATTCTGACATTTTTTAAAATTACATTTGCCCTGTCAAACTCCATCCGGCATATAGTGTGACATGTGACATCAACCCTGACTTTTGACCTACATTCTGACATGGTGACCTTTGTCCTGACATATATTCTCTAGTTTGTCAATGCTTGTCATCATGACGGGTCCAGGATGACAAACGAATGCCCTCCCTGGTGCATGACCAGCTGTTGGTTTTGGGAGTCAGGGGATAGTGAGGGTCCAGGCTCGATCTGTCAGATAAAGAACTTCCAAAAAAGGTGCAGATGCACACCTCAAAAACTAAGACTGCATAAGTGGGTTGATTGCAGTGACATCGTTGGTCAATTCTTTGTTACTTCAATTTTGTAACCCCAATTCATATTATGACCTATTCTATAGTTTTCATATCGTTTTCAGATAGTTTTCGTTGCTCAGGTCTATAGTGATGGCTCTGCTGCCATTCTGCATCCTTCGGCCAAGGGCGCCAAGGGCCCAATGACGGTCACATTTTTTGCCTGCAATGGAGTGAGGCAAAGGTTGTTGTCATCCTGTGACTTGGCTCTGATTCTGGGGGACTTGGATGACAGCACCACTTTTTGCACAACTTTTTGCACCTGAGAACTCGAATTGATCCAAACAATATGTTTATTTTTCTTACGGCTTTGAACTCGATATGTATATATATATACATGATATAGTTTAATTTATGATATGATATGAAATATCATTAACTATTCAAAACCCAAAATATAAAAAATATATAGTATACTGAAGCATATAATATACAACAATATGTGATATGCAGTTAGTAATAGAACATAATTTAATACAATATAATATCATACCTTTTAATATGATTAAAATAGATTTTGATGATTTATAATACATAATTTAGACTGTAGTTTAATGTTTTAAACTATATATTATATGGTCTAATGCTAACAAATAATGTAAGATATAAAATATGATGTAATATAATTTCATAAGATATAAAAAAGATAAAATACAAACTAATATAATACGATACGATAAAAATCTTTTATATAATGCAATAGATTTCAATTTAACAGAGTATAACATAAGATCATATAATATATAGTTTCGAATTTATAGTTTTAGATATTTAATCTTCATATATCATATATAATATTTAATGTTTAATATATGATAACTTAACTATAATCTTCAATATTTAGTATTCAAGATTGAACATATAACATTGAATATTTAGTATTTAATATTTAGTTTTTTCCTAATATATGATATATTTAAATACATATTTATACAATATATATATAATGAATATAAACATTATGTAGTATTTGAAGTAGAATATATTGGATATAATAAATGAATTCAAAAAAATGTATCATAAACAGTACATTTTCAACTATATAAAATATACAGTGTACAATATATATATATATATATATTTAACGAAATATACAATTTGCATTTATTTATATAATTATATATATAATATACGTTACACAATTTTTAATATTTTTAACATATAATATATGTTCTTTTGAATATAGTATAATGTAATATATTTTAAAATAACACACGGTATAACATATAATATATTTAATTCTTTATATTTCATTTTTGATATAGAATATTTAATATAAAATCTGCCATCTGCATATTTTAATATATCATATATAATCTTTAACATATAATATGTAATATATGATATGAAAAATATATAATATGTAATATGTTATTTTTAAACATTTAATATATAACACCAAAAAATCTAATTTATAGTGTATATACTATGGTAAAATATAACCATCACATATATATATAATATAATATATATATATATAATATATATATATATTTATGTCTGATTCCGAGCTGGGTTTGACAGCGCTCCTGGCATTTTGTCATCGACCATGGGATCCCAACTTGCACCAGGTCTTCCGCGCGAGTTCTGTGGCAAAATTCTTGCGGCAGCAACGATTCGCGATCGTTTTCACCCCATGCCATCAGTGTTCCTTGGTGAAAGATGTCACGTGGCCACCTTAGTGTCATAGTCTGACTAGTTTAACGAGTCTGACGAGTCTGACTAGTCTCTTGTTTGATCTTGTTTGTGTTTTTTGACATTCAGTTCTTCACTCTCTCGAATACTGATCAACTGGGAGTCATTGGCATCACTCCTCATGAGACTGCATGCTTGTTGGCTCTCCCTCCCTCTCTCTCATTTTTTTTTTTTGCGATCATTCACATTTCAATGGGAATTTCAATGGGATATTCCCTTACATAGGCCTAAAAAAATAGGCCTTATATATGGTAGGTACCTCCAATGAATCGGTTCCTGAGTCATGGCCATTGATCATTCCTCCACTGCATCAATTCCTCATTCCATTTCCCCAAGAGGCTGAGCAGTCCAGCGAAGAAGCGCTTGCGGAGGCTGCAGCTGTTGACGCACGTGGTGTGGCCCTCTTGCGAGATGGGGACTCAGCGACATGAGGAGTGCCATTCTTTCCTGTGTACCCTCTGGTAAATCTGGTAATTTGTTACAGTTGGCCATTGAAAATGACCCATTTATAGTTGGTTTACCCACTCAACATGGTGATTTTCCATAGTTCTTTGTATGTTTACCAGAGGGTAAATCCCATAAATTCCCATAAATTCCCATTAAACCACCATAAAACACCATTAAACCACCATAAAACCACCATAATCCCATGGTAATTGCCACATCTCAAACCGTTTTTGTTCGCCAGGATGGTAGCATCAGCATCGAATCTTTGGATCGGAACTCCAAGCTGTTGCTGGCACCGCATGGGCGGAGCTACGTGGTGGACTGGTGGCAACCAGTCCCTTCAACTGACCGCCGCTTGGCAACAGAAGACGGGAAGTCTGCCGCAATAGCCTGGGATGGATGCTAAATGCATAAAAACATATAAAAACATCATTCTCTATATATATATATGTCATATATCTAAATGCTTTTGAAACCCTAAAGTATGCGATCCTTTTGACATGACTTTTTGAAGATCAAGAGAAATTCAGAGGAAAAACACATCGTTTTGTCGACCTGTGTACGATCACTCGTATTGTCATGTATTGTGTCATGTATTGCCAGGAGGTACAAGGATGGACCCCGGGCCCCAGCCAGTTTCATGAGCTGTTCATCCCCGTCTCTTTGGGTTCGCTTGTGGTTTCAGTGCCGGAGGTGAGAGTCGCATGGAGAATGCACCCGGCTGTCAGATGGCGACGGAGAGCTTTGGTACTGGGGTGGGTTATGAACACATCTATCAGGTGCAGTGCTTCTATGTTGAGCACGTGGAGATTCCATGGTTTCTTGGAGTGACAGCCCGTGATTAGGGCTGCTACACAGCATGTTTTTGCATTTTTGGAGATCGGAAAGATGTGTAGGGCGATTGAGATCGAGATCGTCGGTCCGCCTCTTTGTTACAGTATATTTTGTTACCGTTGGACATGCTTCAGATTTGGCGATTGCGAAAGGCTGCAGGGTGTTGAGCGGTCCAAACGAAACAGTGGAATTGGATCACCTGTTGATCAACTTGGATCCAGCAGTGCTGGCTGAGATCGTTGCAATCCCATGTTGGGATGGACATGTGACATGGACAAGGTAATTCAAAGTCAACCTTGAAACACCGGTGGGCAGATGTCAATGGTTAGATCGGGCACCCTCCAGAATCTTAGACATCGGAGTCATAGCCTGTGCCCAAAAAACATGGTGTCCCCTTGGGAGTGGGATGTGTCACAAATCCAAAGCCATTCAGTGGAAATAGCAACTGAGTGCGTGCTGTGTTGTAACCACTGAAGCACTGAGGCTTTACCCTCTATTCCTGGCCCTCATGCAGCATGTGGCCCCTTCAGCTGATGCGGCATATGCGCATTCTTCCACTACGCGGCGTTTGGTGGGTGGCTTGGCGGGAGTTCCTTTGTGCTGATGTCTACCATCGATGTTTGCATACCTTAAGAATTGGATGGGGGTATATGGGATATAATTATGGTATAATCATGATATAAAGTAACAATAAGTGATATAAGATATGAGTCGTAAGCTATGGTTGGCTTTCGTAATGATACATAACATCTCACCCGAAGTGACTAAGTGGCCTTTTATGGTACTCCTCAAATCCAGTAGTTCTTACACATATTTACCCTCTGGTGAACTAACATAGCAATGGAAAATCACCATTTTCAATGGGAAAATCCACTATAAATGGCCATTTTCAATTGCTATGTTAGTTCACCAGAGGGTAGCCATGGTTCTTCCTAAGTTTCCTCCACTTGGGCGGCTCATTTGGACCTTGGAACCCCCAGGTCTAAAGGCGAGGTTGGAGGATTGCCTGGCGACCGGTCAACTGGTGGACAGTGGCAAGGGCGTCACGGCGCCCCTCCCTTCAAACGGCAACGGGTCGCTTGGACGGCAGGAGGAGCAACTCCAAGTGAAGCGAAAACACAAAGGGGCCATGGCAGTTAGGAGTTGCCAAGGCGTCTTGCAAGATTCAGATGATTCAGCTTGTTATACTAGTAGCCTTTGCCGATTTGAAGCCATGGATTCAACATGTCAGGTTGAGTGCCTTTCGGATAGAGACTTACCAGACTCACCAAGAAGCTGCGTATATTCCATTCGCACTGGGGTTCCGCAATGTCGGGTCAAGGTCAGATTTCAAGCACTTTCCTACAGTTTCCAATACTTTCCTTGTGATGACCAGCCTGAAGGTTGGATACAGTTGGCAACGCTTGCGACCATGTGTCACCAGCAGTGTGCATGGGCGAGGTGAGTGTCTTGACTATGAGCCGCGCTTTTGCGATAGCCGGTGATAGATGGTGTGGAGTGTTTAAGATATTTAGGACATTGAGGGTTGTGGGTTTCAAGGCTTGTGATTGCTGGGGCTTTTGGCACTATCCAAGAGTCAGTCAGGTAATTTTTCAGCAAGCTTCAGAGGTTTGAGAGGTTTGAGGCGATTTCTCGACACCCCTAACGACACCCCTACCCTCCGCTAAACTAACATAACTATGGAAAACCACCATTTTCAATGGGTAAATCCACTATAAATAACCATTTTCAATAGCTATTTTGACATAACCAGAGGGTAACGACACTCCAATGGTTGAGGTGAAGGACCTGTCCGTGTGCTGTGGACTCCGACCGCGACCCTATGGCTGCATCCAGATCAAGGAGAAGCGACAATTGACGTGGCTCGTTGATGGTCAGCGACCAGCTTCCCACAAAGGCATGGATGAGGATTGTAAAAGTGGTCAAACTTATATAGAAAAGATGTATTTGGTAACCAGGGTGTGACAATCTATGGGTATGAAAGCTAGGAGTGCTAAAAAGGCAATGGACATTTATATAATGTAAATACCGTATTAATACGGGATAATAATGAATGGATAATACGGGTAATCAAACATGGCAATAGAAATTCACAATTCCCCATTTAGTTTGCTGATTTTCCCAGCTACAAATCTTCACTGAGTACAGCCGGTCACTGCCGAGGTGTCGCGCGGAACTCCTACGCAGCCTGCGCAGTGTTTGCTGATGGTGTCCCATCTGGGAGGGTTCCAGTAATGGGGTTTACCTCAATAGCTGGGTGGTTTATAATGGATTATTATGGGACATCCTATGTGGATGATCTGGGGGTACCCCCATGACTTAGGAAACCCATGGAAACCCCCATTGAGCGCTTCGCTATGTGAATATTTGGCCCTATTTGTAGAGATGATTTATGAAATCAAGTTGATTTGCTTGGCAATCTACTCTGTTTTTGGGTGTGGACACGGCAAAGACATCAAGCATCGTCTTGATAACTGCAAATTTGAGAGATGTGCAGCACCGTGCAGCCTGAGCTGCCGCATGATTTTAGACAGTCTCTTTGACATTTTTCTATCAACAGCTTGTCATGGTCCGGCGTTGTCGTCGCATTTAGGGTTCAGTCGGTTCAGTGCTGTCGATCTGAAATGGAAATCCGCAACGAAAATCGCGGATCAGCGATGGCAGGAGTCTTCACTCAAGGGCCGCTTCTGGAAACGTTTGGGACCTGGTGGACCTGGTGGACCTGGTGGCGAGGCAGGACGCCCTTCATCCAGCTTCAGATGCAGATGCCACTTTTTGAACAAAACGGTTTTATCTTGGAATTCAGCCCTAGATTAATGAGTGACATAAGAACAAAATTCAGAAGTCTTGGTACAAGTTCGCAGTATGCCTGTTTGGAACGCTTGTGTTACGCATGGTCGCTACAAAACGGATGTTTTGCAAAGGTCTCTCTTCGGGTGTGGTCACCATTTATAGCCTGTAATGCAGTCATCAACAAAACCGGCAGGTTGAGTTTAACAATTGACAGAGATGAACAAGCATCATCCATACACAGGAGCTAAAGGGATTCCTCTGCTTATAAAAATTATATATCATCCATACCCAGTTTATATTGAAAGTATTTGAACGTGATTGGACTTAGCTGAAGGGATTCCTCTGGCATAGCAGTGATTCCCTAGATTTCCACCATGAGAGTCCAATCCTGGCGGTGCCAGAGGTAATCCTCAGCGAGATGAAGAGCGTTTCGACGGGACCGGAATCACAGCGTGGACTTGAACTGATTGATGAAGCGGTGGCTGGGTGCAGATGCGATGCTGTTTTCAAAGTGATGAAGTTTGGTGACACATGGTGAAAACTGTTGACTTTTTGATGCTTTTTGAATGTGTTGGTATGATTTGGTATGATTTGGTATGAATCCGGGGGAGGGAAGCCAGGGAAGCATCAAAAAAGTCTTCTGGACAAGGACCTGGAAAGCTGTTTCAAAACCCTTCAAGTCGCATCATTTTCAGAAGCTCAAGACTGTTGCCAAATTGGACTTCTAAACCTATCCTGCAGATCCTGGCAGATCCGAGACCTACTTAGAGTAGAGTGAGCTTCCCGAGACTTCTACTTTATTTAGCACATTTTAGCACTAAAAGTGTTGCGTCTCAGGCAAAAGTGCCTCATTGGACGATGGGACATTTACAACCACTTGGTAAGGAAGACTAGGAAGACTAGGAAGACTGTAGTCTTGCAATGTATTTCGTAACGATTGAACCGGTTGATAACTCATGATAACTCATGATAATTATTGATAATTCCACAGTCGTGAGTCAAGTTAAATCGGTTCAAGTTATATATATATAAATATTATATATATATATATATGTAAACATATATCATATATACATATTATATCATATATATATATATTATATCTCTCAAGATTGGTAGGGAGGCCGATCCTTGAGAGAGGGGGCCGATCTTGAGAGATACCAAAAATCCTCTCTATCCAACAACTGAAGTGAAAAATCCACAATGGAATGTAGTTGAAAGATCCCTGATCTGTAAACTTCACTGTGCCCTGCACAACACCAAACGTAGCACCTTTTTATGGCTGACAGCGAAGCTCAAATGTCCCTCCCTCCGCTGGGCAATGCCTGAGCCCACCCTTGAGCTACGGAGAGTCAGGTAGCTGATGATCTCGAACAGGCATGCATTGAACATCATTGCTTTGAAATTCCTTCTATCTATAAAATGTTCGAGATACAGCGGTTCCTCACGCTGAGTCTTCAAGATTCATTCCCGTCTGGCAAACAATGAAAACACTGTTGTCAGTCAACATGATTCCAGCTAGGACGTCTTGGCTTTTCCTATCCATGAATCCCCAGTTGTAGAATCCTGAGACAAATTGCGAAGCCACTGCATTCGGGCTCTAGAGTCGGAACGGGCACGGAGGATCTGATTTTCGTCATGTAAGCTGTAGCGACCACGGGCCAGGCATTCGCGCAATACCGCAGCATCCATGATCTTGGTCAGAGCATCTGCCAACTGTGCTTGTGATGGTACCCATCTGATTTGGATTCCATTTCGCAGGTGTTCTTTGATAAGTTTCGCTTGTAATTGAGTTCGGAATTCACCACAACTAGGTGGGGCATGTCTACTGATCAGGTCAAAAAGTGATTTGCAATCTGTTGTGATAATGGATTGAGTCTTCTCGGGTAATTTTGAAAGGACATTTTGGAGTGATAAAGGTGGTTGGGAATCAGTGGATTCATCCGTTGGAGGGATCGCTGCAAACGCCGGTGGCAACCGCAGTAGCGTCTCATCCGCCAACTGCCATTTGCAATTGCCGTCACGCAACCAAGCCCAGTAAAGTCGCAGCCACGTCAAACTGTCTACTGCACCAGCTAGCGACATTGCCTCAGCTGACAATGTACTGACCACAACCTTTTGAATCTTTTTCGAATGCCATATCAAAGGATTCACTGGGCAGCTGTGGTTTTCGGCAATCTTTTTGTGACTGGCCATGATCATCATTCCTTGATGGGAGTCTGGTACTTTGCTGGAGGCGAATGAGGCATCGGAAAATGCTACAAATCGGATGTCATCAATGGGAATTGGTTGAAATTTGATAGTTACATCTGAGTGAACTTTTGTTTCATGAAGTATCTTGTTTCCCTCACTGAGTGTGGATATGGTTGCTTTGTTGATTTGAGATTGTAACCATCCGAGTCTCGAAGCAATATCCGGTCGTGTGTTGACGGATGCGTATTGGAGTGATCCAACAAGTGCTCTCAATCCTTGACGTTCTTCTTCAGTCACTGGAGCCGTAGGAGTAAGCTTTCGTTCTTTGGCAATCTTAATTGGGTGAATATCCTTCACATACTGTTCTTGACTTACCCAAATAGATTGATCCAGTTTCTGAGAAATCTTCAAACCTGTGAAAGTGAAATCTCTCTTTTTCTTACTACCAAACGGATATTTTCTTTCAAGGTCTGCAAGCTTGGCATGAAACTTGGCGGATCCACAGCACAAACCGTCATCAACGTGTATGCCTATGATACCTTCAGGTTGCTGGTTTTCATTCCTGAGCACAAAACAACATGGATCAAATGGTGCTGATACAAACCCTAAGGCCTCGAGGCTTTGTCTGAGTTCTTGAAACCAAAGGAAGGGTGCATCAACTCGGCCATATGCTCCTTTAAGCAACTGCACAATCTCATTCTGTTTCAGTTTCATTTTTACCCTCATTTCCTCTGGTGGTTCCATGCCCAGCAATCGTGATTGCTGTTCGGTACCCCTCAGGAAGGCAGTCTTGATGTCGAAACTGTGAATATCCCACCCCAAACTGGCCGCATGTTGAAGTATCAAAACACGTGACAACTTTGACATCGTTGGGCTATCCCTGGGGATTTGATCTACCATTGGATCTTCGAATCCCAACACAACAAGTCGTGCTTTGGCCTTGCGGTTTGGGGTCATTGACGACGACTTGGTGGCAGTACTGGTCTCATCAGCTTCTTTCCAAGTTAATATCCATCTGCATCGAAGGATACTTTCTTTTGGGATCTGGTGACGCAAAACCTTTGAAACTGTCTCGGTGGAAAGCCAGCTCTCAACTTCTTTTGTCTTAGCTTCTGCAAACATTTGTCTTTCGGCAGGACTAAGATTGGATATTTTCACTTCACTTCTCTGTCGTTTTGCTGCTGATACCAAGAAAGCCATTTCTGATGGACGGATTTCTTCCTTCCAGTGATTGATATCCCTTTGATTGATGTCAACCTCAAAACGGTATGCTTGATCCTCATGTAGGCTATAGATAGGATATTCTTCTGCATATAAACCATCTTCCTCATCTGAGGTTTCCGGTACTGGGACTTCAAAGGCTTGTGGACTCTCAGGATGTGTATTGTTGGAATTGTCATTTGGAGGGTCTGATGGAACTGAGACAATCTCAGGTTCGGTGTCAGGTTGGCCATGGGGGGACTCGGAAACATTTTGTTCTGGAGACCCATTTGGCATTGGAGCTTGCAAGTTCGCGCCTTGACCCACTTCCGGCATGGCTACATTTGGAATGGCATGGTTCTGGTCCCCTGAGGCATGTGATGGTTGATTGGACATCATGTCATGAAATTGAACTCCACCATGTGCAGGTCTGATTGATGTTTGATTTTGGGATTCCGCTATCGTGGAACTTGGTTGATGTCGGTGTTCTTTGTAAAAGTGCGAGATGTTTCAAGCACTGTTGTCAAGCTGCAACTGTCGGCACCTTTTGCTGTTGCACGCACTCAATCTGTATGTTGTCAACAGGAGTTGACTCAAGGCCTTGAACCACAGGCCAGTGTTGATATGACATGTTGAATATGTACATTGACACGACCCCTCAGATGTTGGCTATGTTAGCCAGCAGATGTTGACTATATATTCTACATGGGTCTGTGTTCACTAAATGTTGCAACTAATGTTGAAACTATAAACATGTTGAAACTGAAACAGCATTATGTTGACTACTCATGCATGAGTGTTGGTTCATCCTCTGTACAAATGCCGATGGCTTGGTTATCTTTATACACCTGTTGCAGCCGCAGGTGTTGGACGAAAAAACACTTGCTTAATTATGCGCACTTCAAGCTCTCATGCGCTGAGCGCCATGTCGCACAGGGCTCTGTTGTTTTGGTGCTTCTGCACCGGGATGTTGTCTGAGCTCCATCCCTGTTGTGATCATTGTTGATCACTCTGCGTCGTTCTCTTCCATGTTGTCTTCCATGCCGGTTGGCGCACGATACTTGTTCACTTCATCGAAGTGCTGTTGGAGGTGCTCATCTGTTGATTGCTCCATCAGCCATGTTGCCAGTGTTGAAGATCCCCTCAACCTCTCTGGTGTCTTCACACCAAAGTATTGGAATTGTTGTCCTCCTTCAAGGAGTGGATGCCACTTGTTGAGGACCATCCTGATTTTGGTCCTTGCTGCCTCTGGCAAGAATTCCAGTTGTTGAGTGCCACCGTACTGAATGGCTTGTTGAAGCATATAGATGAGATGTTGTGGGATCTCATCTCCAACTGTTGACAAATTCACAGGAGTGTTGTAACTCCAAATGAAGTTGTTTGACCAGCTGAGCACGTTGAAGATGTCGAGGAACCCTTGTTCCCTGTTGAGTGCCCACAACTGTTGAGTGAGCAGTTCTGTTGACACAAAAATGGCTGCACAAAAAAGGTTGAATACAAGACTGTTGTCAACAAACGGTGTTGACATCATCATGCGTCACAGGACATGTTGACCTTCACGTTGGGAAGGATCTTGTTGAAATAAGTCATCCTGCAAAAAAGGAAATCATGTTGACTAAGTCAATGATGTTGATGCTGATAGTCGAAATAGATCACCATGTTGGGATTCCAAAAAAGGTCTTGTTGAAATACTGGATGAAACGAAACAAGGGAGATGTTCATCAACGTTTGTTGATGACATCGGTCATGGCTCAAACGCGTCCGTGTGTGTGTGTCTGTGTGTGCATTGTTTGCTCACGCAGTTGTGCACGCGTGCGCATAGTGCATTAGCTGCCCGGGTGTTGTGAAACTGCTGTTGCTGTATCCACTCTTTAGTGGATGTGGTGCTGGGTGTTGAGCCCAGCTGCCTGCAGGTGTCTGTGGAGTGTTTCTGTTGAGATGTATTTGGTGAAAATGTCTGCTGGGTTTTCGTTTGTGTGAATCTTATTGAGTCTCACGATGTCATGTGAGATCAGTTGTTGTATGAAGAGATGTTTCAGGTCAATGTGTTTTGCTTTTCTTGACGATCCTATCCTTGTTGCCATGCTCTTGCCGCTTGACGAGTCTGTGTGAATCTTGATGTTGACCTTCTGGACGTTGAAGAGC